GTCTGGCCTCGTGGGTGCTTCTTCTCTTTTGTTGTAAACCACCTTACCGACGGCGTGAAAAATACCCAGACTGGCTTCTCGTTGAGATATCAGCTCCAACGTATCCTGCTCCCCCTTTGTCATGGAAATGCCGGCCTTGGCGCCCTTCGACTGCTTGGATAAAGCAACCTTGGCTCCCCAGTCGGCGTCCTGGTCGCCCTTCAAGCACATGAACTCCAGTGACGAGATCGCACTTCGAATGTCGCCGATCTCGCCCAGTCGCTTCAACACTTGAGGCCCTGGGGTGCGTTTCCGACCAGACTTGCGCGCCTCCTTCATGACCACCAACTCCAGTGCTTTCGCGAGGAGCGTGGGCGCGATGGCGTTGAACTCGATGACCCTTGCACCAGGGTGTCGCAGGATATCAGGCCCAAGCAGGCGATGTGCAGTAAAGCTGTCCGCCGCAGCCGAGGTCGTGGTCAGTAGCGTTTCCGAGATGACCAAGACGATGGGGGTGATTGGCTCATGTGAAGGCCGGCGCCCGAAGGCAGAGAGTGCAGGCGTGTTTGTGGCCAGATAGTCCAAGATGGTATTTCTGAATGAAGTCAAGGTTGACGATGACCTCGAAAATGTGTTTGGGAATTCCTCCACAAGGATGATCTTCTGTGTTGAAGGATCCGAATTCTCAGTCTTTGCCCGCGGCGCCTCCGCCGTCAGATCCAGATCGAGCTGACCGAACTTCCCGCCTCTGCCCAGGAACTCTTGGAACTGCCCGGATGCAGACGAGTATCCAAGGTTTGCGCCATTCGCACTGGTTGGATTCCTCCACTCCAGCAGCTCAGCGCCCATATCCTTGGCCAGTAGTCTCATCGTGGTAGTCTTGCCGGAGCCCGCCGCGCCTTTGAGAAGCAGCAATCGCTGGCGCAAGCGTCCGCTAACAACGTCCTCCAACCATTTCCGCACATCCGCGACCTTTCTCTTGTGTACTGCGAGCTCGTCCAGGTTGATGGGCCCAAAGCGCTCTGACCATGGCCGCAGGTCGTCGTCGAGCGCTGCTGGTGTCGTCGGGCGCGTGGGCTTGAGGAACTTTTGGCTTGCGGCGAAGGACGCTGCCGACGAAGCGGGGGTATTATCGCGGAACCGCTTGCGCGCGTTCTGGCCCACTATGCTCGAGGTGCTGGCTTTCTGGTCCACAAAGTCGTCGTTGGAGATGGGATCGCTCACGATGTCATCGAGAGGTACGGTCCTCGAGGAACTAGGCTTGGCAGTCGTCCGCTGCGCCTGTTTCGAGAACAATGTCATGAGGTCGCCGTTCTTCCCCTTCTCTTCGACCTTGACGCGCTTCTGCCCTTTGCCCTTAGCCTTCTCTGGGCTCGTACTCGGGCTCTTGGTGCCCTTGTTCGATCCATTTCGTGCTTGGAGGACGGACGGTGCTGGTATGGGTTTGCCTGTGTCGGCGGTTCGAGATCGTGTCTTGGTCGGGCTCGGCGATGCGGTCGCGTTTCTACTCCCAGCTTTGGAGTTGGGGGAGGAAAACAGGTAGTTCGTCAAGGTGTTCGTCTTCGGACGCTCGTCTTCTTCATCGTCTGATTCTACGACATTGCGCCGCCTTCTTTTGGCCGGCGGAGCCATTGGGAAGGTTGTCGTTTGGCAAGATTAACATGAGGGGTGCATGATCTCGGCGGGTGCAGAAATCAACGCGTCTTTGCTGGTGACGTTGACGAACGGGAAATGTTGAAAACAAGCAAAAGCAAGCAGGTGCACCTTGGGCGGCTAGTGAAGGCAGCTTCCTCGTCATTTGCAGCCTCGCGAATCTGGACCCCCACTTTGGCTGGCACTTTACAGTGGGTGGGCACTAATCGGCTGCTAAATCGTCGGTGCCTGAGCGAGCTTCGTCCCGCCCGGCTGCAGCTCAATTAGTGAACCCATGTACATCGAAGTACCTGTGTCACAGACTGGAGAAAGATACTTGGAACCAGTCGACACGGAAATGAAGTTAAGTGAAGATATCAAAAAAATTCGAATGATGATTCAAATCATCTGTTTGGTCATGATTCTTCTGATCACACAAGCGCATGTGACTGAGTGCTGTTTGTAGCCTCCTACATGCCGCCACACTGTGAAAAGTGACATACAAACGACTCCGCCAAAACGAGAGCTCATTAATTATTACAAGTGCAATTTCATTCTGCTTATGTACGCCCTGTTGTACAGTATTAATGACAGACTGCCGCGTAGTCGTTCAGTTACAAGTTCGGTCGAGCGAGGGTCACCGCGTTATCGGCATATGCTGTTAATTTCAGACAAAACTACTGTTGACTTAGAACGTCCATCCGTGGAAGTTATCGACGAACGTAAGCGCAGAGGCGAGGTACCGCTCGTGGACATCGCCCCACGTCCTCGCGGCTTCCTTCATGGCACGAATGGCTGTGACCATTAGATACGAGTCCCTTGCTTCAGCATCTGAAGAGGTACCTTTGACAAAGTGAGCGTCCTTGGCCCACTGCGAGTTCAGGGCCGCCTCCTCGACGTGGCCCCAGTGTCGCTGCTTCAGGTCCGTATCGACGTTGTCAGGATCGATCTTCGGTCGTAGGAGAACGATGTACACCGCGAGGGTGAACAGCCACCACTGCCGGACCAAGCTCACGTGGAACTTAGTTGGGATGAATGGGATGAGGATTCGCACGGCATGGCTCGTCGTCAGTAGGTGGACTGTGAAGAAGTTATAGGCGTGGGTGCCTCGTGGAACGGTGGCCACGAGCAGCGCCACGGCCAGCTCCTGAGACTCTTCAAATTGCTTCACGGGGTCTGTGATGTTCCACGCATTCCAGTACTCCAGCACGAGATCCTCGTGCTTCTCGAACAACGGCTCAATGTTCTCCGCATTTGGCTCCTTGAAGAGCCCATCGAATCGCTTGTCCTTCGCCAGCTTATCCATGATTTCGAACGTCGACTTCGAGCTAAATGAGGAGGGCTTCGAGTACTTCTTGTGGTCGAGGTACTTGTGGAAAAAGTTGTAATTCGTTGTGGCAAGACCGAGCGCCTCGATGGCAACCTCCTTGCTATCGATTTCGTATGCGTATCCGAGGTGGATCAGAGGGTGGCCAACTTCATGTAGTGTTAGCAACAACACCAACGGTTTCTCTCCTGCCATACGTACGACCGCCAATAAGCGCATTTACCAAAGGCTCCTTGCCTTCGAACATGAACTTGTTCACGACTTTCTTCCAATCGTACCCGCAGCGCAGCGCCAGCTCGTCCTCAAAGAAGTCAACGTATGCCCTCTGATACCTCTTGTCACCCAAGAAGTCCCGCCAGTCGTCCTCGGTGACCTCGTCAGGCGACTCCGTCCATGGCTCTAGGTCTTTCGTCTCGATCTCGTAGAGGTCTTGGAGCTGCTTGTCGTTTGCGCCGAGCAGGTACGCCGAGCCGAGGATGTGCGGCGCATGGTTGTGAAACTCGAGGTTATGGTAGAGAATGGCATGGTTGGCGTGGTTCGCCCTCAAGAGGTGTTTGAGGCATCGCGCGCGCTTCTCGGGGTCGGTCTCGACGTTGTGGACTTCGACGGGAGGGATGTCGATGGCTTGCGAGTCGTCTCCGACGAGCCTGTTGACGATCGGGACGTATGATAGGATTCCTGCCATGTTGAATGCCTTGTGGGTATGTCTTAGAGTAGTTTCAAGCGGTTTACATTATTGAAGAATTCGAGAAGAAGAACTGAGGTCGAGGGGCGCAAAAGAGCAGCCGTCGACATGGCGCGATCCGAGGGAAGCGTTGGGACCTAAAAGTGACGTGTTGATGGGTTTGAGGGAGTGGGGTATGTGAATGCAGGGTGTGCACGGTCGATTTTGCAGGGACGCTCCCGCCTCTAAGGCGCTGAAGCGTTGGCAAGCCCAACCCCGCCATTCAGCAGATGGCGCTGCCCCGCTATCGAACATCTGGGTCCGGGGACTTGAAGCCAACAGAAAAGATTTGACAATGCATTTGTCGTCTTTGTCTACGCGAGACAACCTTGTTTTCTCCTTCTTTCTCTGTACTGTACGAGTACTCAAGCATCTCGAGTATGTGGGGTCAACTTCTACGGCAAACGGCGGAGACCCAAAGACGGCTGACGACAGGATGCAAGTTCGGGGTAAGGGATCTCAACAAATATTGGGCTCATTCAGCCAACTCCCGCCATGGACATGGATGCAGTGCTGCAGCGGTCCGTCGGCCAAACTCTGTGTTGCACAATGAGGCTCGAGTCTTTGAGTTTGGGCAATCAAAGAATGGCCATCAAACAATGGCCATCAAACTTCATTTCTCACACCTGTTCTTGTCCATGCCAGTGACCAAGAGATCGCCTGGCCTGTCGCACACGCAACACATGTCTTGCGCTGAGGCTAAGAAGAAATGTCCAAGAATGGGAAATTACTGTTTGCTTATGGTTTTCGAGAAAAGTTCATCTTGAGACCTGGGTGCGAGCTTGCTTAAATAGCTCGAGTTGCCCGCGCTCGGCCATTTCACAGCACCACTGCCGGGACAGGTGAGACCGAGACAACCCCGGCGGGTTGCAGAGGGATCTATTGCCTTCGGGCACAGAACGGACAGTCGAGACACCCAGGTCAGCTTCAGCTGGGCATTGTATTGCTTAGTAACCCAGGCACATGGGAACTTGGGAAACTCGACATGATCCTCTTGCAGAAACCGGTGAGTCCCAGGTATCTGATTGGCATGGATTGTGGGTGTGGAGATGTCCATTGACCAATGAAACCCCCTTGACTGACCGAAATCCGCAAGATGTAAGTCAGTCGCGATATCGAGGGGTGGAAGGGTGTAAGAGCCTCAAGAGGTGGGAGTGTATAATTTCGAGCCGGAGTGTTGGCGATGGGTGAACCCCTCTCGAACAACTCACACAAACCGCATCACGTACATACACCCCAGGCATCTCGCAGGAAACTCCCTTAAACCCTTGCTAAAGACTGGGTCTTCTGTTTACCTATTTCATCTATCATCCACTCAGACAACCATATATCACCGAGATGTCTTTCCGAGACGTCGAACCGAAAGTGATTTACGACTTCTTGGGGGAAAGGCGGTCATCTCCGGGCCCAGGCCTCTTCAATACATACTTCGCAGACGCGCTCTGGTCCCAGCGCTTCGAAGACTCCCACAGCTCGTCCGGGACTTCTCTGAGCGACCCTCACTCTTCGGAAGACATGCTCCCCCCACCCTCGCCGCCGTCTGAAGGTTCCCATGGCACCCTTGACGATGCCTCCTCGGCGGCTACACCGGAGCCTCCGCTGTCCAGCTCCCCACCCTTTGAGGAAGTCCGGATCGATCAGTCGGCACGGGCCGCAGATCTCGTTGACCTTCGTCAGGGTGATGACAAGTTCACAACCCCCACCTACATCACCCAGCAGTTCTTGCCCAGACCAACGAAGCTCATCATCGCCGACAAGCCCAAGTCCAGGTCCAGGGTTGTACAGGATGTTGACAAGACCAACCAAGTTAGAGGCACCGGCGCATGCAACAGGTGCCGTCTTGGAAAGGTCCCCTGCAGTGTCTCTGGTACCTGCCCTGCTTGTGTCAAGGCCTGCCCTCTGGCTCCTGAAGTTTGCTGCATGCGCAAAGACATGACATCAACTGCCAGAGATCATTCTTCCAAACGATGTAAGACAATACCCGACAAATTCGGTTCCAAGTTATCTCTGGTATACTGACTTCGTATAGTCTCGGGCTTGGTTCGAAAGGAAGACAACATTGTCAAAGACACACTTTGCAGGGCGTGCCCAGAGTTTGGAAATGACCTCTTCGAAGGGCAGATCTTTCTCGACCGCAACTGCTCAGGCTTTGGGCTTCAGGCTCACCTTAGAAATTACAAGTGCATGGGCCCTGGCAATCAGATTGCTCACAGCGGTTGTACTTTTTCTAAGACTGATCTTCAACCGGCTCTGTCTCAGCAACATTTAGTCGCGCTAGCTGGACAGTCGCTCTCCCAAGAAGATCTCCAGACTTTCGAGGGTGCCATTGAGTCTTTCATTGGATTCTATACCGCGCCTCATCACTACGGTGCTCGTCAGCGTCCCCAGGTAAGACATCACTCAACCCTGCAACGCGCCAAGTCATCTTGTAGTGAACACTGCTTTTAGTTTGCCCTCCTTGAGAAGCTACGTACCTTCAAGGCAGCGTATAGAATCTGCCGTTCTGAGAAACTATGGTTCCTGCAAAAAGACAAGGGTGTCGTAGAGCTTCCTTTGCCAGCGCAGGCGGAGCTCCGCGGTGTTGCCCGCTCGGCGCTCGACTCGTCAGAGAGAGACATCCACAGCGAGCTCGACAAGTACCTCAAGACCCCAAAGATCCCAGACCAAGACAAGCCAGTCGTATGGGCCGCCCTGTGGCAGCTGATGTTTGTCTACCGCGACCTCCTGCGAGGGGTGCGGCCCTTGCACAACAGCGCCGAGGCCCTCTTCAACGCGGTCGCCGTGTTCTACGCGACCATGTTCCGCACCACTGCGGCGCTGAAGTGCTTGGACAGCGTTCAGGCTTGCTGGCTGCCGAATGATGCGCAGAGCCGTGAGCTGGCTGGGGCGTTTTCCTATGCTTTGAGCCTGCGCGATACCTTCTGTGAGTCCCTTGCCTACTCAACACCCAGGGAATCCAAGACTAACATGTCCATCAGATCAAAGCATCGTTGCAGGAGTTCACGCCGTTGACCAAAGTCTCAAGATTCTGGTCGTGGATCCTGAGATGAAGGTACTGAAGCGAAGGCCGGCCACGGCCAGGAAATCTACCGGTGTCAAGCGGGGTGCCGCTCATGTACATGATGATGAGGATGAGACTATGGGTGGTTGCTGAACCCTCACTATTTCTTCTTCATAATGACATGCGCATATTTTGCTTCAGCGGCGTCATGTTTATCATCTTTTCTGGTGTTGGTTTTCTTTTGCAGCTTTGTGCATTTCAGTCGGATACCCGGGTGCGCTCGAAGCATGAACCGCCCACGACTAGGCAGATTGTCGATTAACACGCAGAGAGCGCCAGCAAGCGAGACTCTCTGGACTCCGAAGGAGCATACTTTGTTATTTCATTTACATACTGTTTTTAGGTTTTTACACAATAACTACGCTTGATTTTGTGCCAAGTCATTTCCAGTGCCAGTCATCAGCCAAGTGACATGAAGCCATCACCATCTGCGCCTCAACGCTGCGTTGTCGTCAGTCACAAGTTAACACAGACTAAGCACAGCTCCATGCGCCGAGGAAAAGAGAGTCTCAGTCGATGAACTTCCCTCGGAGCCGAGACTCACTTATCAGCCCGTAACCTCCACTAAATCCGAAGCTTACCCGCTAATGGGGCCACCCGTGAACGCATGCAACCAGATCGCTGGGACTCGGAGGTTCTCTCCTGTAAATCACCCAGGATCATGCGCAGTCTTATCAAGAGCTGAACATGCGGGGGTACCAGGGTCAACCCAGGAACATGTCATCCGAAGTTGAGATGGATCATGGCCAAATCAGGATCCAGGGCGATATCTATGGGGTCGCTCCTTTTTGCGCGGGAAACGAGCTTGAACCCCACCATGTCTTTGACCGAGGGGAACCTGGCAACCACGGAGGACCCCCAACCAACATGTTGGTATCATCAACGATGACAATCATGCGAGGTCATCATCTAAAAGACCTTCCAATGCCCTTTTAATTGATCAGAGCATACACCATCCACAAGCCAAGTAAAATAACAGCGAGCATCTCATAATGGCTTCAGCACACCCCTATCAACAGCTTGACATCGATGAGCGGGTGAAGCGAGTGCTTCTGAAAACACCCCTCATCGACGGCCACAATGATCTCCCCCAGCAGCCACGGTGCTGTTTCAAGGGCAAGATCCACAACAACCCCAAATTCGACTTTGCGAATGGCTTCCAAAGGGGAATGACGGACATCCCTCGTTTGAGAGAAGGTGAGTTGCTCAACGCACTTGTAGTCGTGAAAATCTTGGGCTTTCACTAACACGCATGGCAGGTGCTGTCGGCAGCCAGTTCTGGTCCGTTTGCGTCCCGTGCCTGCGGTCCGCGGAGAACTTCTCGACGGCAGAGTACTCGACCATGGCGCGCGATGCTATTGAGCAGATTGATCTCACGCTGCGCCTGGTGGAGTCGTACCCAGAGACATTTGAACTGGTGAACGGGCCGAATGAGGTGAAGAAGATTTATGACTCTGGGCGGATTGCGTGTTCGATTGGTATTGAGGGGTATGTATATCACTGAGCCCGTATAAGTCTTTATTTGGGATGCTCACCGGGTTGGATAGCTTGCACATGGCTGGTAACAGTATCGGCATCATTCGCGCTTTCTATCGCCTCGGAGTTCGATATGTGAGTAATGAGAGACGATAGCATGGCATCTGACGTGGCTGATGTGGAGTCTCTAGTGCACACTCACCCACGTTTGCAACAACGCCTTCGCAGATTCGAGTACTTCAAAAGTCGGGCCAGTGCATGGTGGACTGTCCAAATTAGGACGCTTGGCCCTTGTTGAGATGAACAGGCTAGGTACATGGTCATCAACGCTGGACTCAAGCATCGTGTCTAACGTCACACAGGCATGATCGTAGACATCTCCCACGTCTCAGAAGACTGCGCCAAGCAAGTCCTCGAGCTCTCCCGCGCTCCGATCATGTTCTCCCACTCTAACGTGAAGGGCGTGTTCGACTGCGCGCGTAACGTCCCCGACCACATCCTCGACATGGTCCCCGCAAACGGCGGCATCGTCATGGTAACCTTCGTTCCGGAACATGTCGCTACCCGTCGGAGGGACGCCAAGATGGAGATGGTTCTTGATCACTTGTTCTACATTGCCGAGCGCATCGGATGGGACCACGTCGGCCTCGGGTCCGACTTTGATGGCATTGCCTCAGTGATTCCCGGACTCGAAGATGTCAAATGTTACCCAGCGCTTTTGAAGGCCATTTTGGACCGAGGTGCTACGGAGGAGCAGTTGGCCAAGGTTGCTGGAGAGAACATCCTTCGGGTATGGCGCGGGGTTGAGAAGGTGAGAGACGAGATGAAGGCGGAGGGTGTCTTGCCTGTTGAGGATGTCTGGGAGGGACGAGAGTGGTGGAAGTATGACGGCTATTATCAGATGAAGGTTGATTACGATGAGGATTCGGGAGGGGATTGGTACGGCGTCCCTCCTCCAGACGAGGGTTTGTATCTTGATGATGATGGCGATAAACAGTAACATGGACTAAACCACCATGGTCAAACATGAGAAATTGCAAGAAATATTCACGAAAGCTGTCAATTTCTAATATTTAACATGTAAAACCAATCGCCTTATAACATTCGCCATGATTCTCGCAAGTTATACTTCGTGTCATGATGCTATTCGCAACATCGCCGATTGTGTTGCAAGCAATGACCATACCAGAAACTGGCCTCAACGTCACCCAACCAAGTTCGATCCTAGAAACTTGTACTTTGACGCAATAAGTGTTCATCTTAGCGACTTTCGAAAATGTTTCAAATGAATTATATCTGGTTGTGCAAATGGAATGGGGGTGGTGCGATGATAGCCGCGGAATACCCAACCATAGCTTCAGTTTACCGTTTGTGTGTCAAGTCAAGCACACCATGGTCGTCTCAATTGGCCTCGAAGCCGTCTCTCTATTGCTCCAACAAACAACCTCAAAACGCAACTCAGCACCTGTTGCGACGTTGAGCGCGGGGTAGTCGTTCACCTCCGCGGTTGAGCTCAACCGGTGATAAGAGTTTCCCGCGGAATAAACACCGACGAACCTAGTCATTCCCACCACTCTTATCAACTCCATCTCGCATGTTCCCTGGCCGTTCTATCGTACGAATAATGCGGGGCAGCTCCGGTCTGGCACTTACACTGCCGACGTCCGTATAAAGTCATGCATTCCTTGAACGACGTCCAAGGCGGCCGACTCGCGCCGCAACCGCCTTCGCTTACATCTCACCCAGGATCTCGAGGAGACAGAAGATGGCGACAAAGAAAGAGCTGATGGCCTCTGAGCCGTCCAAGGCCCTCGACCTCCTCGACACCGCGGAGGGTGAGATCGTCGACCCCCAGGAGTACTCGTCTCTCCTCCGCAAGATCGACTTTCGGCTGATGCCTCTACTCTGCATCACGTACGCCCTGCAATCCATCGACCGCACCACGCTCAGCTATGCCGCCGTCTTCGGCGTCCGTGAGGATATCGGTCTCACGGGCTCAGAGTTCTCGTGGGCTGGCGCCGTGCTGTATCTCGGCTACCTTTTCTGGGAATTTCCGACGAACGTGCTCCTGCAGAAGCTCCCTGTCGGCACCTTCTTCGCCGCGACCGTCGTCCTCTGGGGTGCGGTCCTCATGTGCCACGGCGCCGTACATAGCTTCCCTGGTCTCGCGGCAACGAGATTCTTCCTCGGCATGTTCGAGGCCTCAGCCAACCCAACCACTATGATCCTGTTCTCGATGTACTATGAGCGCAAGGAACAGCCCCTGCGCATGGGAATCTGGATTGGATCTGCCGGGTTGGGGTACATCGCCGCCGGCATCGTCTCATTCGGCCTCGGACACATCTCGGGATCGATTGCGAGTTGGCGGATTTTGTTTCTGTTCTGGGGCTCCATCACTGTTGCTTGGGGCGCGCTGATGTTGATCTTCCTACCGGGCTCGCCTCTTACGACCAAATTCCTGAGCGAGAAGGAGAAAGCGATGGTTGTCAACCGCGTGAAGACGAACGGTACTGGCGTCGAGAACAAGGAGTTCAAGTGGCCGCAGTTCTGGGAGGCGATGAGGGATCTGAAGACGTGGTTGTTGTTCCTCTTTGCGGTTGCTAGTAACTCGCCCAACGGCGGTTTGACGACTGTAAGTTGAAAAGGGTTTCAAGTGCAAGCATACGCTGACTTGAAATAGTTCCAAGGTCTAGTCATCAAGGGAATGGGCTTCTCGACTCTACAAACGACCCTCATTCAGATGCCCTCTGGCGGAGTTCAGCTGATTCTCTGCCCTTTGGCATGGTATGTTACCCCTGAACCATTATGTCTTGCACCTTTCTCACCTCTTCCAGCTTCTTCGCCTCCTACTACCCCAACGCGCGTCTCACCATCATGCTTGCCTGCCTCATCCCCTTCCTTGCAGGCATCCTCGGACTCTGGCTCATCGACCAGTCGAACCCTTACGGCCGCCTCGCCTGCCTCTGGATCTCCTTTGCCTACACCGCCACCTGGACGCTCTCCATGTCCGTTGCCACGGCCAACACCGCCGGACATACCAAGAAGATCACCACAAATGCGATGCTGCTCATCGGATACTGCGTCGGAAACTTCATCGGCCCCTTCTTCTTCAAGACGGAGCAGGCGCCTAGATACACCCTTGGCGTCGCGATGATGATCTTCTGCGTTGGTCTGCAGATTGCTTGTTTGGCTGGCATCTGGGTCCTTCTGTGGACTCGCAACCATTCAAGGAAGACTGAGCATGCGGAGTCGCCTGAGAACCAGCAACAAGCCTACGAACGCGGTCTTTTGGATCAGACCGATTTCGAGAACAAGTATTTCAAAGTAAGTGATCCGCAAGCAGTATCCTTGAGGAATGAACTAACCTTGTTCAGTATGTCTATTAAGTTAAGCGAAGGGGGATAGTGTAGACTGGGAATGGGCACAGGTGGCAATTCCTACACAGCCACATTGATGATAAAATATTCTATCCATATCAAAATATGATATCAATATCCGAACCACATATGATCATCGCATTCGCACTATTTACTTGTAATTATACCGGTCGTCCCTGTTCCCGTGTCCTGATTTGACCGTTGAAGTCTGCCTCGGGTAGTCTTCAGCCCTCAGGCAGCGTCCTTCTCTTCCACTGGCTTCCGTCCCCAGATAGAGTAGCTGCCACCAGTCAGCGATCTGAAGAAAGCAAGTCTGAATCAGAAAGTGCACTTACATCGGCCAGTATGCATGAATGTTTCGGTCATTGACGTCTTTCCGCACGTCAATCAGAAACACCTGCACCTCCGCCATGGTCCACTCGTGGATCCTGGTCAGGGGTGCGACAATAAAAGCCTCGAATCCTGTGTTGAGGTTCTCATTCTCCCACAGACCCAGCTCCTTGTACTTTGGATCTTTAGGCCAGCTGTTGCTCGGCCACTTGTACTGCTTCAGATGCACGTCTTCGAACCCGATTTCAATCATCATCTGTCGCAGCTCTGGAATACTCTGGAAGGGGCGGCCAATCTTTACCATGGCCTCGCCTAGTAAGTCGATGGCTCTCGAGACTGCATGCTCTTCTGTGAGGGTGCCGTCGTCACACGCGGGGTAGAGGTCGGTCTCGTTGAGCTCAAGATAGCCACCAGGTGCCAGGCCACTAAGCAAAGGACCGTTGTGAGCTTTGTGAGGTATGCCTAGGAAGGAAGTTTTCTTACTCGTAACACTTCTTGAGGTAGATGCGCCAGTTTTCAATGCTCGATGTCATCATGCGGCTATGGATGAAGTCGAACGGCCGCGAGAACGTCCAGGGCTCCTCAATGTCGTCGATCTCGAACTTCACATTTGGCGGTACGCTGGGAAAGTCAGCAAAGTTGCCCTATTCAAATCACTCCAGGGATGAAAATACAAGTCGGGTTGAACAACAGAGAGGTCAATACCCAAGACCTGAAATCTCTGTTAGAGAGGGTCAATGATACCCAAGGTTCTGTCCTCACCTCGGCCTCTGGGTGGTCGTCACCAAACTCGATGGCCCACAGCCCTGTTCCCGTGCCCACATCGAGCACACGCTTCACCTTAGAGTCTCTTGCGCATGGTGGGGAGGTACCCAGCTGGTTGTCGTAGGTCAAGAGGAAGAGGTGATGTTGCAAATCTTAGAATATTACGACGTGTGACTTCTTCCGGAGTCGGATGACTTACACAACCTTTCGGACTCCCGATCGTCGTTGGGATAGCTGTACTCTGAATCGATGAGCATCATTCTGGTGTTTGCTTGCTGTTCAGAGCCGGTTTCTTACTCCCATCCTTGTACCGATGATAGGTCCTGCCATTCTCGATTCGGTAATCCAAAATTGAGGCGGTCACGCTTGTTGTCGAGGATGCGACGCTCTAGCGTATAGTAAGTGTCTCAGAACATACGTTGCTGTTTACAACTGGGTGTGCAAAGACTCACGCCGAGTGCTGACGCGCCATCATCAACAGGCTACTCACGTAGTCAGTAAGGTAGGCTCTTGGAGTTCTTTGAGAGAACTAGCATACCTCGTCGGCGACGAGCATGCCGTCAGTCTCAAGAGCCGGTGCCTGTGGAGCGGAGTTTGCTGCAACTGGAGGGACCTCGCCCGTCTCGTTGGGTGCAGACATGGTTGAAATTGATTAGTTTGAACAATTCAGATACTCGACAATTTATCTGCAGTTACTAAAGAGCTAAGACTGAACGAATTTTAAGACGATTCTCCTGCATAATATAACAATTTATCTCCTTCTATTTTTCACACGAGCCTTATTTACCCCTCTTCTTAGCTGGCGACGTCTCTGTATGTGCGTGAAGTGGCTTAATTAATCTAGCTATGAGCGCTGGGCGCGCCTAGCTATAAAGTAGTGTAGCTGATCCTTTATATAAAGGTGGGATTTAGGCTAGGGTTTAGGCCTTAGGCCTAGGCTTAGCTAACTACTATCTTATACCTCCTTTTTAGTTAATACCTCTTATATTCTATAAAGTTATTCCTATCCTAAAGTAGTAATTAGATTAATTATATAATTATTAACTTTATTTCTAGTTATCTCCCTTATACCTTCCTTTTTATATTAACTTTATTATCCTATTTTATTTTCTAAAATACTTCTAACTTCTAATTTTTAGTTATATACTAATTATAATATAGAACCCTTACTAACTTTAAAATAACTTTAATATAAATTTAAGCTATATAGTTTAATAATTTAGTTACTTTTAAATTATATAGACTTAAATTAAAAGAACTAGTAACTTAACCTTAAAACCTTAAGTTTAAATTAGATTTATAGTAATTAAATCTAATTAACTCCTTAATATTAGTTAAATAATATAAGTTTTATATTTTATAATTAAA